TCCTTCCATAGTGTGTTAATGCATTATAACAATTAATATGAAACTCAAGGAAATGAAGTTTAAGTTTTTGTTGGGAGCTGCCTAGTCCCTCTCAAAAGGAATATAGACAAATAAACTGCAGAAAGGAGCAATGAAAGGAAAAAAGGAAGAGGAAGTGAAGTGGGGAATGAGTTTCATTTAGTTTCTAGGATAATTTCCTCTCTTTAATACGCTTATTCTGTCTTTTGTCATTAACACATAGACCTATATATAACATGTCATCTCAAAAAAAAATGACAAAACTAAGGGGAAACATATGGAAATTTGAAAGTTCTCGTCCCCAAGACATAGTGAAAGATATTACCTCCTTACAAGAGAATTTGAAAGAACACATTCTTTAATAAAAATACATAGAGAAAAATGTATATCATGTTGTCTGTATTATAGGACACTTATACTGCTGAAATGTTTTATTTATTTTATAAATTAAAGAAGGAAAATACTTTTATATCCATTGTAGGTCAGAAACCCACATATCAAAGAATAAAAAACTGATCCATAAATGGTGTCAACGCCTTTCAACTACAAATCCTCTTATTCTTCTGTGACACTGTGCTGCTTTAGTACGTGTGTGTACTGGTGCATGTGTTCATATGTGTTAACTACGTGTAATTCAACACTCCCCATGGTTTAATCAATTCAATCAGAAGTCTCTAAATTGATTGAAGAAATTTTCAAATCAGTCATAAAGGCAGACCCATGGTATTTTATACCACTACCACTGAGATTAACTACCTTTCCCCATTTTCCTGGCACTGTAAGTTATTTTTTTCTACTAAAGCAAGACCTTTCAATTGGCTTCACTTTGAGCAATTCCTAAGCTTCACACCACTAGAAAACATTGCAATAGAAAGTTGTTCTATAATCTCACCACAGCCCAGAGAAGGTTCTGGGCAAGAACTCAGGCTGACATAGATCTAGTTTCCAAGTGATATAAAGGAATACATAATTCAGAAAGTAATTCTCAGCAAACTTATAGTAACATGAGTCACAACAAGAAAATCAGTCAATAAAATATGCTGAATGGGAAATGATTCAGTGAAAATATTATTCAGAACAAGCAATTACTGAGTGAAGGTATTACCCACAGCAGACAATTACTCAGTGAAAATATTACAGGAAGTAGGCAAATATTCAATCAAACATTTGACAAGGAGAGCAATTATTCAATAAACAATCATATAATTGTACCCAATGGGGCATGCCTGCCACACAGCATACAAATCATTTGCAGATACTCAGGATGATGTTCTGGCTGCAGAAAATGTGCGTGATTTATGGTTCTCATTTGTCATTGTTGAGATAATTTCATTTTAGCTTTACTTTCAGGTAAATAGCATTAAAATGTTATACAATTCTAAAAATCAATTCTCCAAATAATTCTATTTCAATTTTTTTGTTGTTGTCTCAATAATACAATTCTTGTCCTTATTGTTCTTCTTTGTCTTATTTCCTTCTTTTTTGGACCATTCTCCCTATATCCTACTATTTCTATTTTCCCATAATATATTTTAAAAGGTAAGGCTGAATACCAAGATGTTTGTGTTTATTATTAAATCTTCTCTCCATGAATCACTTATGAACATGTTTTTTATGAGAAAACCATCGCAAGCAGCTATTTGTCACACATGGATAGATTGTAGGTATAATCTGAAATGCTACACCCAGTCAGAATGCAGCCATACTTTCAAGAAACTTAAGGATTGAAACCGTGACCGTAGAGCTGGGGTTCCAGCTTGCAATTAATACGTCCCTCAGGATATTCACATTGTGTGCCAGAGTGCTTTGATTTCAGTGCTGCCTCTATTCCAAACCCCAGGATTTTACTAGTGCACAGCCTGGCGTACCTAAGAACCAGCTGGGTCCCTGCAACCCATGGGGAAGGCCCAGGTTGAGTTACCAGTGCCTGGCTCTGACCCAGCTCAGCACCTACTGCAGTAGGCATCTGGGAAGACAACCCAGATGTGTAGTAATATAGGAGCTGATCTACAAACCAAACATTTCAACATAATACAGCGATTGTCCAGGGAGGCGTGTTTAGGAGATCGGTGGAAAAGAGTTCAAGTGATTCTACCTTAAGGTTGTATCTCCTGACTGGAAGAAGTGACTCTTCTGAGTGGGAGAGACATGAACATTTAGACAGAAAAAGAAAGATAGGAAAGAAATCCAATGAGATTAAACTGAACATCCTTTGTTCACTGCCAAAATGAGAATAACTGCTGGATTGAGCCAGAATGAAACCAAGAGTGGAATTTGGATATCCCCGTGGATACCAGGGATACTAAAGAATGAGTGACTTGCAAATGGATATGTTCACATATCAGGAAAAAGTCACTGGAATCCCTGGTTGATAAATATAACATTTATTTCTCAAGAAGATATGAGAAAATTTGGAAAGACTTCTTAAGGTCAAAATGAACTGGGACAAGAAACAGGAAATTCGTCTAACAGAAATAAACTGTCTAAGGTTCTAGCACGGAACTGGTCACGGAGATATGTCGGAGGGAAGAGACCAATTCCTAGCACTAACTCCATTTCAACTAAAAGCACGCACAGACGGAGAGGACAGAAACTTTCGACCCTAAGAAAACCACATATCACACACTCAAGTGGAATAAATGCAGCTAAAAAGGCAAAAACAAACAAAAAAAAAATTAAAAAGGTAGCAGACTTGAAAACAAGACCCAGGAAGGGTGATTCCAGACTCACTCAGAACTCTAGCTTCCTCAAGCTTGGTCTAACTACAGGAATAAAATTCAGATAAGTCTAACGGCCTCTGCTAAAATCTGCGTGTTATAAAGAAAAAAGGCCCTTGTTTGTTTAGGGAAAGAATAAATTTCTCCAGCTTGAATATTCAAAAAAATGGATGGAGTTTAATTATTCTTACATGGGCCTGGCGCGGTGGCGCAAGTGGTTAAAGGTCCTCGCCTTGCACGCCCAGGATCCCATACGGGCGCCGGTTCTAATCCCGGCAGCCCCGCTTCCCTTCCAGCTCCCTGCCTGTGGCCTGGGAAAGCAGTCAAGGACGGCCCAAAGCCTTGGGAACCTGCACCCGCGTGGGAGACCCGGAAGAGGCTCCTGGCTTCGGATCGGCATAGTATCGGCCCGTTGCGCTCACTTGGGGAGTGAATCATCAGACGGAAGATCTTCCTCTCTGTCTCTCCTCTCTGTATATCCGCCTTTCCAATAAAAAAATAATAAAAATAAATCTTAAAAAAATAATAATTATTCTTACATAATGACTTTGTATTTGATCAATTTTGTTTAACACACAGTAGAATTTTGTTTCAGTGCTAGCATTCTGAATTCTAAAAATGTTTGATAATATGTTATTCGGTTTTTTGAGTCTGGAAAAAGTTTCATTTATGTCTTATATAAGATAAATATATATAATATAATATATATATCCATGAATGCTTCACTAAGTAATATTTTCTTAAAATTCATATTTTTCTGTTCAGATTTAGTTACCTGTTCAACTAATAGCTAATGTGTTAGTGACTTTTTTTTTAAGATTTATTTATTTTTACTGAAAAGGCAGATATGCAGAGAGAAGGAGAGATATGTGAAACAGGAAAAGATCTTCCATCCACTGGTTCACTCCCCAAATGGTCACAATGACCAGAGCTGATCTGATCCAAAGCCAGGAGCCAGGAGTTTCTTTCACATCTCCCAGGTGGGTGTAGGGTCCCAAGCTTTAAATTGTACTCTATTGCTATCCCAGACCGCAAGCACTGAGCTGAATGGGAAGTGGAACAGTTGGGACACGAACCGGCACCCATTTGGGATCCTGCCACATGCAAGGCAAGGACTTCAGCCACTAGGATATAATGCTGAACCCATTAGTAACTTTTCATAGCATAATGTGCTCTAATTACTTATAAAAATTTAATTTTTTATTTTATATTTTGTATTTTCTTGTAAAATTCACTTCGATCATGGGTGCCAATTTAAACATTTTTGAATTGTTCTTGCAAGTTTTAGCAAGCCCCATTATTATTTAGGGAGCATTTTTCATCGTAACAATGCTGTGGAGTAGCCAGTTAAGCTGTCACATGCAACAACAGTGTCTCATATGGGCACATATTCATGTCCTGGATGCTCCATTGATGCATACAAGCTCCCTCCTTATAATTTGAGTTACTATCGTATCTTTTGTTTTATTCGTTCTGATACATTGTCAGTGCTCTTACAAAATTTGAAAAATTCCATATCAAAACTGAGAAACTATGAAGTGATTTAAATTATAGTCATTTGTTGTTTCTACCATTTTAAATCTTTTTTTAAAAAATTGATTCCTAATCTTTCACCAATCTGCATCACATATCCATTGTCCTATAATTAGAATGGTTCATATAAGGCTCATCGATGAAACTGCAGAAGAAAATCTTACAAGTCTGATGCAGCAAAATCACAAAGGTAAGACGGAATACAGGCTTTGAGTCAGGTAGCCCTGAAGTTTAATAACTATTCTGCCAGACCTTAGTTACCTGGCCTTGAATTTGTTGGTATTTAATAAATAGCATTTATGAAAACATGAACATGCATCATCCTTTTTTCTTAAGATTTTAATTTTATTGCAAAGTCAGATATATAAAGAGGAGGAGCAACAGAGAGGAAGATCTTCCACTGTAGATTCACTCCCCAAGTGACCGCAACTGACTCCCCAAGTGACTCCCCCAGTGACTGGCCACAAGCAGAGAGATGGATGGGAAGTGGAGCTGCCTGGATTAGAACTGGCGCCCATATGGGATCCCGGCGCGTTCAAGGGGAGGACTTCAGCTGCTAGGCCACTGCGCGGGGCCCTTGGTGGCCAGATTTCTTGTCACCAACAAGCATGCATCCCCCCAAGCAGGCTGGGGCTTAGCCCTCACTGCACGCGGACTTCACTCCGTCTGTAGCTGTCATGTCCGGTGGCTTCTGTCCTGTGAGGAGAAATGGGAAAGTGGTCGGGGCGGCCCTGCTGTTGGGGCCTGGGTTCCACGCCCCCCACCAGGCAGCGGGGGTGAGCTGAAGCCAGGATGGCTGTAGGCGCCAAGTCTCACCTGCGGCTATGGCACAGCTGGGGCGATTTTCAGGCGGCGCCGTCCTCCGTGGTCCGCGGGTACCTGACCCAGGGCATGAGAGCATCATTCTTTTAAAACCCCAATTTCCAGGCCCGGCGCACCGGTTCCTATCCTTGGATGCCTGCACCCATGTGGGAGACCTTAAGAGGCTCCAGGTTCCTGGCTTCAGACTGGATCAGCTTCAGCCCTTACGGCCGCTTGGGGAGTGAACCATTGGATCGAAGATCTTCCTCTTTGTATATCCGCCTTTCTAATAAAAAAAAAAAAATTTAATTTCTTTGCCTTGCCCACTTCTCTTTCAAACAACACAGTCATTAAGCACTATAAACTCAAACATTATGATGGAGACCCCGACAGATACTAGATAAACCTGGATAAGGTGTGGTTTAAAGAATTTAACAGACCAGATGGGGAAGTTTAAATATTACATACCATTTTAAAGGCAACTCTGTAGCCATGGAGTCTAATGGTATGCAGTAAATTGTAGTAAATACTTTTCTTGCCAACTTAATTGCTTAATTAGTTAATAGAAGAAGTGTTTTATTTTCGTTTTGATCGGCTCAGCTGATCAAATATGGCAGGCAGGCCAAAAGGGAGCTTGGAAAAAGCAGAGATGTTTTCCATTCAAAAAGTGGTAGTATTTTCCAGGTACAGGAGCTTTGAACTTCAAGCCCTTGGGATCCAGTGTACGACATAAGCCTGCAATGAAGAATTGGATTATTACTAGAACATATACCCTAAAGAGCTAGTTGTGGGGTTTCTAAAATAGCTTTAAGAACTAAAGAGTCACTCTCTCTCTCTCAAAAAAAAAAAAAAAAGACTAATGAAATGGTTCAAGAGTAGGTGCTCTTAATACGCAAGGGACTGTAGTAAGTTCAAGATCTCTGTAACAATCCCACTGCTCAGAAACATCTGTATATGTGCATACATACATGTGGATATACTACGTATATGTTTGTACATATACACACGTACATGAAATCAGTATGGAAAAGTGACATTGCAAGCAAATAATAGCCAGGACATGGAATCAATCTCACGGTGTTCCTAAATAAGTGAACAGATTTTTTTGAACGTGACATCATTTCACTAAAAAGAACTAAATTTTGTCATTTATAGCAACATGATTTGCAATCTGAGAACATTATATTAAATGAAATGTCAGACATAGTAAATCATGTGTTCTCTTACATGCATAAGCTAAAAACAAAACTTTAAGTTTGTAGGAGTAAATAGCACAACAGTGGTTTACCAAAGTTCAAAGTTGAGGAGAGCTGGTTGAATGGAGAGAGGACAGTTAGGGAACAGGAAAAACATCTAGGATTCTAAATTACAAAAGTGACAGTAACTGACTATACATTTTAAAACAGCTAGTAGAAAGGATTTTGAATATTCTTAATACAGAAAGATAAATGCTTGAGGTGACAAATACATCAGTTACCTTGATCTGACAGTTACATATTATATGAATGTATTGAAATATGTTATACCTCATAAATACATATAATCACAAATGTGTACAGATTTTTCAAACTCCTGCTTATCCTATTTCTATTCAGTTTGTCCAATTCTGTGAAAAACCGAACAAAAACAATATAGTACACTGCTGTGCAAGCTCTGAATGTTGCAAGAAGATGCAACTGGGCAAGGTATTACTCAGAAGAGCTCAAATTTCAATCTTCTGTAAGACCTGGTGTTTGCAACTAGTGGTAAATCTCTTTTATCTAAACCAAATCCTGGTCTCACGTGAACATGTTTAGGTTTGCTTGTCATTAATCATTGCTATGTATAACTCAACCAAGCCAAATCATATTGGCTCTCTGTGTATGTCTGCCTTTTCTCTAAGATATAACACAGATATGGTAGGGAGACATGTTAATTTCGATAAAGAGCATGATAAATATTACTTAAATTTTATATGCAAGGAGTGATAGCAATTGATTTTTTTACCTTTAAAAATTATTTTCCATGGTATGATTTTGTATGTATAGAGATTTGCCATGCTATCTCCCTTTCTAAACTTAAATATGATGCATATTTTCCATCCATTGGATATCCTGGACTATTACAGCATGCCAACCCTGAGACACGAGGCTTAGAAATGAATTTAAAGCTTCACATAAAATGAGAGCTAAAGCAAAAAAATATCAATTCATGTAGCTCCAGAGTTTCCCCTTATTGTGTTTTCCATATGTATTACTCAGCCTTTGTAGCTATGACAAAAATATGAGAATTGTTTATTAAAGAAGAGTTTATGTCGGCTCACAATTTAGAGTTCACAGAACAAAATCAAGCAGTCCCAAGGGTCTGGCACACGCAAATGGCAACCGATAATGGAAGGAGAGGAAGAGGCACGCAAGGAACCAGCAAGCAGAAAGAGTAAGGACCAACCTGGCTTTTATATCCAGTGCTCAAATGAACTGCTCTCTGAGGACAAGTCCCATTGATCTGAAGACCTTTCAGAGTCTACTTCCTAGCTAAATCATCAGGTAAGTCTTCACCTTTAATCCATTGACATCAATTACTCTATTAACTACTTACATGAAACTTTGACTTCCAACACATGGGCCTTTCGTGGACAACCAGGTGAATATCCAAACGGCCTACTATAACCCTCCAGGAGATGTTTTTTATTTTATATATTTTTTAATTATATTGTATTATGTGATACAGTTCTATATAGGCACTGGGATTCCCCCCACCCCTCTCCCACCACTTCCCCCATGGTGGGATCCCCCCCCCCCCACCGTTGCACAACCACAGTTCAGGTTTAGTTGGGATTCCTTCATTGCAAGCATACACCAAGCATAGAGTCCAGCATCTCATTGTCCGGTCAAGTTCAGCGGCTTCTTGGGGAGACCCTCCCCGGTCCAAAGGCAGAGGCAACAGAGTAGAATCCTGGTCAGTTAAAAGCCCCGACATAACATCAGCAACAATATATAACGTTAAGGGATAAATTGGCAAAGTATTGAGCAACCAATTTGTCAAAATTGGATGCATGGTCTTAACAACTTCCTATTACTATTTCAATGACATTTCAACAACTGAGGTGCGAAACAGTTTTAGGAAGGGTGTGCAGAGAAATCTTCCATACCTTGGTGAGGAGTACTTAATCCCTGTGTCCTACCTAGTAAGGTGTGTGTGAGTCCATGCTGACCAAGCCTTCCTTGTTCTCTGCCTATCCATTCCAATTTGTGAGTGTGTGTGTGTGTGTGTGTGTGTGTGTGTGTGTGTGTGTGTGTGTGTTGGGGTTGGTCTGGAGCATCCCTCATGGTCATTGCAGAGAGGGTGGGGACCCGAAGTTGGAGCTAAGTAAGAACCAGAGATAGCTCCTCTCCCAAGTCCTGAAGGGAGTTTACTGTTCTTCTGTTTCTGAAGACCGCTCAGGTTTCCTGGTTGTTCCGATGGCCTTGGATCCTATGATAAAGGATTCAGTTTCTTCCATCCTGTGGGCTAGGTCCTGAGGGGGGATGTCCTCTGAGTTCTCCGCCTCCGAAGGCATTCCAGTCCCCTGTGGTCTCTTTGGCAGTTGGGACGTGGTCCTTGGCGCCCGTACTGATAGCCCTTGGTGGGGATCCGGGAGACTCCAGGTTTGGGATACAAGCCTCCTCCTGTCCACCTGCTCCACTCTGTGGTCCCCCAATGCTCTGTGCACATGACCTCCTGTTAATAGGTTGTCAGGGTCGCTCTTGATTCCCTCTGTATGTCTTTGTAGTTTTACTGTTGTCTAATGTTGTCTTGAATCTATTGTCTACAGGTTACCTGTTATGTGCCTGAGAGGTTACACTACACGGCTTCCTCACACGTACACAGGAGATGGAAGGTTTCTTTGCTCTCCCGCCCATTTTCTGAGTAGTAAAAGGTTTTGAAAATATATTTGGTTATACAATTTTAAAAACACATGGGTTGAGACCATATTAGGTAGAGGCCCATCGGGGGAGATTTACATCTTTGGGAATCTTTAGGGTTGATTCATGTACCCAAAGCCCTGAGGGTTCATCACGGAGCTTTCTAAGCAGCAATCATAGAAACCAAATCCCAGAGCTCCCTGGCCGGGTGGCCAGCAGGCAAAGCCTACCGCCAAATGGTGCACTGGCCGCCTGATACCAGCTCCGGACGCACGCATGGTAGCGGCCGCGTGCGATCCAGGCATGAGACGCTGCTTGTCCCGGGGCCTTCCAGCCACAATGCGGTGGCTGGAAGACTACTTCCCCAGGTTCAAGCTCCACCCCCTCCCGGTCCTGCCCCCAGCTCAAGCCCGCAGGCGAGCACTGAAGCAGTTGACCCGCTTCACAGAGCTCCGTGGGTAGTCCACGGCACTCCAGCAAGCCCGATATCGGCTCCAGACATGCACATGGTAGCGGCCGCGTGCAAATCAGGCATGAGACGCTGCTTGTCCAGAGGGCTGGAAGACTCTTTGGTTTTCCTTTTACACCTGCTTATCGTTTCCTGTTCGCTTTCTCAGGCTATAAGCAGGGAGATGGAAGGGAAGCAGGGCTGCAGGCACATGAACTGGTGCCCATGTGGTGTCCTGGTATGTGCAAGGTGAGGAGAACATTAGCCAATAGACTACCACATTGGGCCCTAAACTTGAGTTCTTTTCTTGCTAAATGACAGACTGATCCATTGCCCACTTAAACCAGCACAGAAAACACTTGAAAAAAAAAACTAATCAACTGGTCTAGAATTGGTTGGTGGGTAAGAGAAAAATATTTGAGGGTTTTATTCTTGCTTTTTGTTTTGAATCGAAAAGAGCATCAAATTGAAAGAGCTAACAAGAAGAATGGGATTTAAATTCCTAATACACATGTAGTTTTATTTCACTCACCTACACCATTCCACATCCCCATAGACCCAGGTTTTGATAGTTAGACACGTATTAAATACTCCTGAACCTGCCTTGCCATTAGCAAAAATTAATGGTTATTCTGTTTAGTTAATCTGTCAACAGAGACTATTAAAAAAAAGGTATTCGCTCTCCTGGTCTGTAAGATATTGTGTGCAAATCATTTGCAAC